AGTTCTTGGCAGGCAATTTTTTTTCCTTCAAGGCTTTATATATGTCATCCCATTGCCTTCTTGCCTGCGTGGTTACTGCTGAGTAGTCTGAGCTTAGTCATATTGATTCTCCTTTGTAGATGACTTTTGTGTATCCCTAGTCTCCCTTAAAATTCTCTCTTTATCTTTGGTTTTGGCAAGTTTGGTTATAATATGTCTTGGTGACTTTCTTTTGGGATCTACCTTATGTGGGGTTGGATGAGCGTCTTGGATAGATATTTTCTCCTCTTTCATGATATCAGGGAAGTTTTCTGTCCACAAATCTCCAGCAATTCTCTCTGTCTTTTCTGTTATCCCCCTCGTTCTGGTATTCTAGTCACTCGTAGGTTATTCCTTTTGATAGAGTCCCACATAATTCTTAGGGTTTCTTCATTTTTTTAAATGCTTTTATCTGATTTTTCCTCAAGTAAGATGATGTCAAGTGCTTTATCCTCAATCTCACTAATTCTGACTTGCATTGCCTCAATTCTGCTCTTATGACTTTCTATTGAGTTGTCTTATTTTCAGATTTTATTGTTAATCCTCTGGATTTCTGATTGCTGTCTCTCTGTGGATTATCTCAGCTTGTTAAATTTGTCTTTATGCTCTTCTCTAATCTTCTTAAGTTCCTCTATTGCTTTGTCTGTGCATTCCTTGGTTTGTTTTGCGCTTTTCCTGATCTCCTTCCTGATCTCTTGAAGAGTTCTGTGTATTCATCTTTTGTATTCTACCTCTGGTAATTCCAAGAAGTTCTCTTCCTTCGGAAAATTTCTTGATTCTTTGTTTTGGGAGCTTGCTGAAGCCATCATGGTCTGCCTTTTTATGTGATTTGATATTGACTGTTATCTCCTAGCCATCAGTAAGTTATTATATTTATTTATTTTATGTTTGCTTACTGTGTCCTAGGTCCTTGTTTTGTTTTGTTTTGATATGCCCAAATAGGCTGCTCATGTGAGCTAGTTTGATTATTGGCGCCTTCGAAGCTCTTACGTCCTGTCACCAGGTGGTTAGATCTGTTACTAGGTATGTGAGCCCAGGAGTCTCTTTACTTTTCTTGTATGGATTCATCTCAGGTGTCCAGGTAGTTGGTCACCAAGTGAGTGGTGCAGTCTATCACTTACAGTCCTAGACAGACTGGGATGATTGGTGTAGGCACAGGTATCTGGCTGCAGTAGGGGGTCACGCACTGATCATTTCAGGGGGCTGAAGATTGCCTCTGAGTGTCTGGGAGAAAAGCATCTCCCTGTTCCCTAGAGAGCATAGGTGGGTGAGTTTTGCAGCCGGACTATGGGCACCCGATGCTGTTGGTTGTAAGGACTATGAGGCAGCATTTATTCTTAGATCCCTGTGGTGGGTAGCTAGGTGACATGGGTGGAGCCACTAGTCTTCAGGTCCCTGATGTGGTTATGTGAGGACTGTGCTTAATGGGCAGAGCAGTGTGAAATGGCATGAATCTGCCACTTCACCATATAGCTGATACAGTTGAAGTTAGGCTTCAGGTATATACTCTGTTGTACGGTGGTAACGAGGGCATAGGCTGTTGAAATGGGCCCACAGAGGTCTATGCGGGGTGAAAGGCCTCCAAAGTCCATGGACCCCTTATGCCTATGCCTAGGCAAAGGAGCTGTGCCTACTCAGAGTTCCCAGCTTAGGGAAGCAGGCAGATTATTTTATTCTGCATGTTAATTTGTTCCCCCTCCAAGGCCAGGAGACTCGCTCAGGGCAATTGACGTGTCCTACTTCTGGCCCAGGGGTGTTGGCAGTTGCTGAAGCTGGCCCAAGACCTGGTGCAGAATGGGGAAGGGGCAGGTAAATGGGAGAGACGTTTTTCCCAAAGGGGGTATTTTTTCATCCACTTGGTAAGTCAGACACATGTACTTATCTTTTGCCAATCAAGTGTCTCTTTTCTCTAGTTCTGGAGGCCCGAGTAGACACTCTGCTGCTCAGTCTCTCACGTTGTGGAAAACGCCTCCCAAGCACCACTGCTTGCCTCACCACCTGGACCGGCCAATTTGGCAGGAAGGGTGTCGGCTCCCGCTGGGTCAGATCTGGCAAATCCTTGCTGCTTCTGAACTGTCTCTCCCTCCCCCTGCCACTTAATCTGATTCCTTAACTTTGCCTTTGATCTTCAGGGCTCCTGGATTGTCTTATATAATCAATTCACTTGTTTCTTCAGATATTTGTTGTAAGACGGACCACAGGAAACATCTGACTACTCCGCCATCTTGGCCTCGCCTCCAGCAACTGGCTTTCAACAGCAAAAATGCAATAAACAAAACAAAAAAACCCAGTGCTGGCAGTACTGTGGGTGAATACCTTAGAACTCCTAACCATAGCACTCTATGGCATCAGCAATAAACAGTAGTGTTTACCATTGTTAGTATTTCTGTACTTGTTATGAAGTTGGTATTTGTGGAATATGCAGGACTCTTGAGGAAACCAAGAAACCAACCCAGTTGCTGTTAATTCGATTCCGACTCATGGCGACCCTATTGAACAGCGTAGAACTGCCCCGTAGGGTTTGCAAGGAACAGCTGGTGATTTGAAGCTGCCAATGTTTTGGTTAGCAGCTGTAGCTCGTCATAGCTCTTAACCACTGCGCCACTAAGGCTCTGGGGAAGGCTACCTTAATATTCTGACTCAGTCTTATAATGTCTGGTCCCTGCCTTCCTTTCCACTCTCATCTCCTGTCACTTTCCCTTCTGCCCACCTACTTTCTTTCTAATCTTCTCATAAGTCAACCTTGATCCCACTTCAAGGCCTTTGCACCTGCTCTTCCCTTTGCCTGGAATGCTCTTCCCACATGTCTTTCCATGGCTGGCTCTTTTCATTCTGCTCTCAGCTCAAATGTCACTTCTTCAGAGAAGTCCCCTCAATCCCCTTCCAGCTGAAGCAACCAGCTCAGTCACTTGCTTTCACGTCACCTGATTTTTACTCTCTGCTTAAAAGTACCCAACACCATCTAACATTTTTCTTGTTTGTGTGTTTGTTTAGTGTCTATTTCTCTCGTTAGGCTGTGAGCTCTACAATTAGTAGCCCAGCAACTAGGAAATTGCCTGGCACTACGTCCAGCCTCAGTAAATATTTGTGGACTAAAACAAGACGTTTAATTGATTGTCTATGACTTATATGTGTCTTAGCAACCCTTACTCTCCCTCGTCTTCCAGGGACAGTACTTCAGGTCTGCACAACTCCAGAGGGCACCATTCACAATGTGAGTCATTGAGGAGAGGACAGTGTTCTGCAGTGCACAATCTCTCAAATCTTAGTAGTGGCTTTGTCTTTCGCTAGTCATTAATCCATTCATATAAATATAATGTTTTTTGAGCATCTACTACATGCAAAGGTGGTGGTGTAGACACAGTGGGGATGAGACAAACGTGTCACTGCCTGTGTGGCAAATATTAACCTGGCAAACACAGATGAAACTAGAATAGATAAATGTGTTATAAATCAACATATAATTGCAGGTTACAAATTAATTTCTGTTTCTTCTCTATCCTTGTTCTCACCTGCTCTTTTCTCTCTCCCATCTCTTTCTTATATACTCATATCTATCTCCTGCAATAACTAGCCAAAAAACAAACAAAAACCGAAACTGAATGCTGTCAATTTGATTCCAACTCATGGCAACCTCTTGGGACAGAGTAGAACAGCTTCACAGGGTTTTCTGGCTGAAATCTGGCAGATTGCCGGGCTTTCTTCTGTGGCATCCCTCAGTGGGTTTGAGCCACCACCCTTTAGGTTAATAAATGAGCGCAAATCACTTGCACCACCCAGGGACCTTGGTGTCACTAGCGGATACCCTTTATTCTTTCCTGTCTTCCTTTCACCCATCGATGTGCTGGCAGTGGCTCAATAGGCTTACAGAACTCAATTGTTAAATATTTACGAATTTTGTGAGCTGTTTGTTAAATTGTAGTTAGCTTAAAGTCAGACGTGGTAGGAGTATTTACACTACAGAAATAGGCCAAGACTACAAAGCAAGATTTGTTGTTGTTTTTCTGAGAAGCTGGCTTTCTAGCATGCCATCGCTCTCACCTCTCAGTTTCTGGGAAGGACACTTTGCTTTGTCAAGGAACACCCCACCCTAGTTCTTCAATGTCTAGTCACTCTCCAAGGAACACCCTAATTCTTCAATGGCTAGTCAGTCTCCAAGGAACACCCTAGTTCTTCAGTGGCTATTCAGTCTCTACTACCCTCCTCTCCCCATGGCATACCCCAACTCCTTCCAGAGTGGTAGAGAAGTGGTGACCCTATGGCCTATGTTGTGCTGTGAGGGGAGAGAGCAGAAGAAGAGAAAGTGTGAGAGAAAGGCTCGAAAAGAGGAATAAAAGGGAAAGCAGTACAGGAAAGAAAGAGAAAGAAAAGGGAAGGAGGAAGTCAATGGGGACAGAGATTGGGACAGAGAGAATATAGGTATCAGCCAATGCCACCACATGATTTCCTCACAGGCAATCAGGCGTTTCCCCACCTGGGGCCAGAATGTGACCAGGGTTCCATGAGAGCTGAGGAAACCACCTTCCTAAACTACCCTGAAACAGGGCAGAGGTGGGGACCCACGTATGTGGGTTGAGTAGGACAGGGGACTGGGGATGTAGACTGGTATGGCCCGGGGCCAGGATGCCTCAGTTTCTAATTATTATTGAGTATGGGGGACCAGATTTCTGGGTCTAGGGAGGAAGAAGCTAGGAGTCTGAATTTCCAGATTTCTGAGTCTTAGAAGGAGGCTTCTGGACTCCTAGGTCTGAGGAAGGAGTGGGCTGGGAACCTGGACTCCTGTGTCTGAGGGAGGCAAAGAGGCCCCAGATTCTAAGCCTTTCAAGCAGTTGCAGACTCAGAGGGAGGGGCTAGGACTTTGTTTAGCAAGGCCTGCACTTAGTTATCCCTTTCCTGGACTGCCTTTGATATGATATGTTATAAAAGAACTGTGATTTCCCAAGAGAAAGAGCAGGTGCCAGCATTCTAGCTGCAGATTGGCCATGAGTCCAGTCACCCTACTGGCCCTCCTGGGGGTCACCCTCACCCTGTCCCATGAGTGAGGACCCACTCCCAGAGGCCGGTAGCTAGAGGATCTCCCTCAGAAAGGAGTAGAGGAGCCCTGCTAAGATGGATTTGATTCTCCCATTCCAGGAATCCAGGCCCTGACCTGCCAGAAGGGGACACTGAACTCTGTGTATAATGCAACTGAACTTCCCCTCCGGTGGACTACTGGCCAGGAAGACTGTGAGGAAGGCTGGGGTTGCCAAGACACACTGATGCTCATTCATAATGGTGAGAAGGCCCAAGGGCCACAGTCCTCAGCCCTCCAGGCCAACACCCCTGCCCAGCCCTGCAGGCATCTGTGTAGGAACTCAGGAGACCCCTTCTCCATCACCAGAGCTGCTTCCCCTCCCCAGCAGGAGCAACTGGGAGCGAGGGAGTAGGGAATGCCCAGTCACCTTCTCTGGAGCCTCTCTCCCCTATGCCAGGACCCTGGAGTCCTGATCCATGCCCGCCTGTCAGCCTCCTTTCTCCTGCCTAGGACCCCAGGTGAATGTAGTGATCACCAAGGGTTGCACTCAGGCTGAAGACCAAGAGGCCCGTGTCACGGAGCACAGGGCCGGCCCGGGCCTCTCCATCATCTCCTACACCCATGTGTGCAGGAAGGCAAACTTGTGCAATGACCTGGCCAACAGTGTGCCCCTCTGGACCCCATCCTCCACAGGTAAGGGAGGCAGGAAGCAGAGGAGGGAAAATGGGCTGTAGGGCAAAAGGGAGCAACAGGGCTGAGGGAGTGGAGATGAGTGTAGAGGGGCTGCTTATTTAGAATCATTGCCCCCCAAACCCTCCCCTACTAGCCACTTCACCACTAGCTCCCACCCCCCATGGTCTCTCCCCTGTGCCTGGCTCTCTCCCCATTTTCCCTTTTTCACTCACCCCTCCCCCACTGGCTCCCCACTCCATCTGCTTGCCCACTGTATTGCTCACACAGTAGCTCCCTTGCTCACCTGCTCATGGCTCCCTCCATCTCTCCCTTGATTGCTCCTGGCTTGTTCACTCACTCCCTGGCTTTCACCTGCCCTACTCATGCACCCCCAGGACTCCTCTAGCCCAGCTTCTTCTAAGGGCCCCAAAGCAGTAAAGTGTCTTGCTTCTCTGATGTGAAACTGACCTCAGACTGGCTGTGATGTAAGCTGGGCATTTTGCATGCTCCTTTTTTCTGTACTGCTAGGTTGGGCCCACTAATACTTTATTTTTTTTTAAATTTTTTTATTTTTTGCATTTTGTTCTTCCTAAGTGAGCCTAGCCTATAACTTTCCCCCACCATTCTTGTCTGGTATTGCTATGGACAGTACGTGAGCTTTATGAATCGCATTTGGAGGGCTGTGTTCTGCAGTTTTTCTACTTTTTGGAATATTTTGTGAATGTCTTGTCTTCTTTGACCATTTAGTAGAACTTGCAGGCCATGCACTTGTTCCTTCCAGGGCACCTGTTCCCTGCCCTGACCAATGTGTCTGTGTGAGGTCTCAGAAGCCCCCTCCTCTGCCCTGTTCACTCCCACCACACCCAGATGTGGGACCCCAGCACCACCCCTGCCCTGACAATCCTGCCTGTGTCTGACCCCAGAAGGCCTCTCCTGTGCCCTGCACACCCCCATCACACCCTATCTGGGACCTCAGTGCCACCTCTCTGCCTTGACCTCCTCTGCATTCAGGCCCCAAGTTCTCCCCAGATCTCTTTTTCCCTCTCTCCCTTGCTCTCTCATTAACCATGCATCTTTAGTTTTCCACACTCTGGGCCTGTGTGAGAGAAAAGGAGGGGGGATTTTCCTGGAGATTCAGGAGGTCTACTTTGGGTCCGGCAAAAGAGTGGTGGAGAGAAGGCATCTGACCCAAACTGAGATCCCCCTCAGTCCCCCTCACACTCTCACCTCCTCAGCTGCACCAGCCCCAGAAGGCACGCAGTGCCCCACCTGCTTGTCAAGAGATGAATGCAAAGAAAGCGGGACTGAGCTCCCCTGCCCAGCAGGGCTCAGGCATTGCTACAATGGCATCCTCCTGCTCAACGGAGGTATGTTGCTGGAGACATTGGGGTCCCTGAGGGTGCAGGTCCCCAGTGGGGAGATCTGAAGTCTAAGTTGTGAGTCTCTGGGGGAGGAAGGGTAAACCAAAGCATGGGTCCCAGAAGGAGGGTGGGACTGACTTCCTGGAGCTTAGCTTCCCTCTGAGGTTTGAATGGTCCTAACTTCAATGTCTGACTCTTCCTCTCTCCCTCTCTTCCCCTTTCCACAGGAGGGATCTCCACCAGTCTGAGAGTGCAAGGGTGCATGGCCCAAGGAGGCTGCAACCTGCTTAATGGGACCCAGGAAATCGGGCCCATAAGGGTGAGAGAGAAGTGCAATCCTAAGGGTGAGTCTTACACCCAGGAGAAGAGGCCCTGCCCTGTGCTGCAGCCTTGGGGTGTGACGCTGTTGTTGTCGTTTGCCATCTAGTCGATCCTGACTGATAGCAACTCCACGTGACAGAGTAGAACTGCCCCATAGGGTTTTCTAGGCTGTAACCTTTACGGGAGAAGATCACCAGGTCTTTCTCCTGCAGATCTGCTGGATGGGTTTGGACTGCCAACCTTTTGGTTAGCAGCTGAGCACTTGACCGTTTGCTCCACCAGCGCGTCCTTTGTTAAAGTAGGGGACATTCAAACCCATCACATGAAAGCCAGCAACTACAATACTTTAGAAGTTTATTATTCACCCCAACAAAAAGACCAAACCCGTTGCCGTTGATTCAATTCCAACTCATAGCGGCCTTATTGGATGGAGTAGAACTACCCTATAGGGTTTCCAAGGAGCCGCTGGTGGATTCTAACTCCGCCCTTTTGGTTAGCAACCGTAGCTCTTAACCAGTATGTCACCAGGGCTCCATTAGTCAGCCTAAAAACCCATTTTCATCCAGTGGATTCTGACTTATAGTGACCCTGTAGGACAGGATAGAACTGCCCCATAGGGTTTCCAATTATCGGCTGATGTAGTCGAACTGCCAAACTTTTGGTTAGCAGCTGAGCTCTTAATCACTGTGCCACCAGCGCTTGGCACTTGAAAAGTGAGGGGATTCTATGGGTGGGGGAGGGAGAGAAAGCGGGCGTGGTCTGGGGGCAGATCTATAGGACAAGGGCCCACCAGTGGGAGTTTTAAATGGGGCAAGGTGAACTAAGTTTGGGGCCCAGTCCTGGTGGGAGGGGAGCCAGGAGGGCAGCTTGCTTTGCAGGTGACTTTACTGGGTACAATGGAAGTGAGTGCAGGGGCATGGGCAGGCTTCACCCTGGCAGGTCATTTTTCCAGGAACCACTTGTTGCTTCAGATGGTTTTATTTCTCCACACCACTGATCTCTGATAACCTTGAGTTTCCCACTTTCCCTTGACCATCCCCAGCCTCTCTACCATCCTCATCCACTGCCTACCCATGATCCCGGAGCACCCCAGTGGCCTCGTTGAATAGGAAAGTAAATCAAGACAAAATCTGGGGTGCTTCATGTGTGACAGGGAAGGCAGGAGTCAAATGAGGACAGTAGGAGGGTTCCCACTTAATTGCAGCTGGATCTACACAAGAGACCCAAAGTGTCCTGGAGTGTCTTAATAAGAAGGGCCATGAGGCAAAGGGAAGCTGTGGTGGGGAAGAGAGGGGAAGGATCCAGGATAGTTGGATAGGAGAGGGGCCTTCTCTGTTTGAGCCTGTTTCCTCATCTGCCCATGTCACCAGGAAGCTCAAAGACAGGCGCTGGGTGAGTTCAGCAGACGTTCCTGTTCGTGATTGGATCTGTCTCCCTGGATAAACTGGGACCCCCTTTTGAGCACAGGACCAGGATGTCATTGACATCAAGGTTTCCAGCGTCGTGCAGTACAAGATCTGGCTCGGAATGGGTGCCCGGGGTGTGTTTGTTGACTTGAGTTCATGCAGGATTCCAAGGCCACCCATGGAGACCTCAAATGAGTCAGACCAGATCCCTGCCCTAAAGAGTCTCCAAGACTAGGAAGGGAAGATGTAACATACTCAGATGGTTATGAATTGGGTGGTTAGGGCTGTAGGAGAAAGGGGTTTGGGGCTGGGGGGAGCTCAGAGGAGGAAGATACTGATGACCTGGAGTGGAGGTGAAGGAGAGCTTCACAGAGGAGGTAACCTGTGGGTCATGTCTTAAAGATGAGCAACAGTTTACTCATAGAAGAGAAAAAAGGACATTAACAGGCAGAGGGAACAGCATGTGCAAAAGCCTGGAAGTGGGAGGAAGCCTGCTGCTCTCAAGGAGGGCTCCTCTGCTCTGCCTTAGAAGGCCTTGTTAAGAGGAGGGGGTGCAGCTGGGATCAGAGGATGATTACACCTTTTCAAGTTGATGAGGTGGGTGTGGAAGATAAAGGGAGAGCCATTCCAAGCAGAAAGGACAGTGGGTAAAAGGCCAAGGAGGCAGGAAGTGACCTGGCCTGTCTTGGGAATGGATATTGTTGGGGGGTGGAGAGGTAGGTGGAGGGCCTGGTAGTCTGTTAGGCACCTTCAAAAGCTAGGCCATGTGGGTGGATTTTCTCTCAAAGGCCAGGAGGAGCCATGGAGGGGTATTGAGAAGGAAGGGACAGAGTCTGATCCCTCATCTCTGGGACTAGGTAACGTTTATCGATCCAGAAGACATTTCAGAAAAAAATCAGAAACAACACAAATCACACACACCACCCACACACCACATACACAATACATGCACAACACGCACACGCAACTCACACATACCACACATCACATGATACACACACCACACATAACATATAATACATAAAACACACACATTACATACCATGCTACACACACAATAAGCACATACCATATACATCAAACACACATACCATATTGCTACACAAACATACCACACACAGATCACATATTACATACCATATGCACACACACCTGTCCTCTATATGTACCACAACACACCACAAAATCCCACACACTTCACTCATATACAACACATATACTACATATACCATACCAACACCACACATCATATACCACACACACACACAAAACCGTTGCCCTTGAGTTGATTCTGACTCATAGCAACCCTATCTGACAAAATGACAAAGTAGAACTGCTCCATAGGGTTTCCAAGGCTGTAACCTTTACAGAAGCAGACTGCCACATCTTTCTTCTGCAGAGTGGCTGGTGGGTTCAAACTACAGACCTTTCAGTTAGCAGCTGAGCACTTAACCACTGTGCCACCAGGGTTCTCATCACATACCACAAAATCCCACACAACCCCAGCACACTCACTAAACATCCCATACATATACACAATGCCTCCCCACACACTCCACACACAACTCACATACCCCCACACCAAGTCACACATACACCACACGTCACAGAGCTATTATGCCACAAATGAATATTCCTAATACATATCCATATTTTGTTAACTTCAATGTTGGAGCCAGATCTTAGAAGGTGTTTTGCCTTCTCTGGTTCAGTTCAGTTCAGCAGTTTAGCAAACGTTTATTGAACATCCTCAAGACAAGGTGTCAGAGGGTAGAGATACAACAAGATGTCAAAGAATAAGTGGAGGAGAGAAGGGCATTCCAAAGTGAAAGAACAACTTGTCAAAAGGCTTGGGGATGGGAGAGCACTGGGTGCAAGAGCACCCAGTCATGGCAGAGCCCATCTTGAAGAAATACCAAAGGATTGGAACTTGAAAGACCTTCACTGTTCCTCTGGGGAATTGGGCCCCTATCCTGCAGAGGATTAGTGAAAAAGAGGAAGACCCTCAATGAGATGGATTGACACAGTGTCAGCAACAATAGGCTCATGCATAGCAACGACTGTCAGGATGGCACAGGACAGGGCAGTGTTTGGTTCTGTTTACATAGGGTTGCTATTAGTTGGAACCGACTCAATGGCACCTAACAATAACAGCAATGCTGCAGACAGTGAACTCCAGTGAGAGCCATGGGTCAGCACAGTCAGGGAGATCATGGCCATCAAGAGATTAATGTCTGATTCAGATATGGGTTCCAGTCTGGACTGTTGATCTTCACTCCTTCTTTGAGCCTCCTTCACCAATGTGGTCTATTAATATTTACTAATAAGTAAATAATAAATAAATATTAATTGACCACATTGCACTGGTGGTGCAATGGTTAAGCACTCGGCTGTTAACCAAAAGGTTGGCAGTTTGAGCCCACCCAGCAGCTCTGTGGGAGAAAAGACCTGGCCATCTGCTCCCATAAAGTTCACAGCCTAGGAAACCCTATGGGAGAAGTTCTGCTCTGTCATATGCGGTTGCTATGAGTCAGAATCAACTCCATAGCACACAGCAACAACAATAACAGTATTTATTTAATGAGTCCCTCCTACTGCCAGGCACTGTTGTCGATGCTAGGGTACACCAGGGAACAAACAAAGCAAAACAAAAATCCCTGTCCGCACGGAGCTTATATTCTTATTGGAGAAGGTAGACAGTGAACAAATAAATATAGATAAATTGGTATTGTATCAAGTGATGATAAGTCTAAGAAGAAACACTAGGGGTAAAGGGTCAGAGAATGATCGAGGGGGTGCTGTTCTTCTAGATGGGATAGTCAGAGAGGGCCTCTTGGGGAGGGTGGCATCAGAGCAGAGACCTGAATGAAGTAAGGAACAGCCCTTGCAGAACTCAGGGGCAAGTGGTTCTAGACAACGGTGGGAGCATATGCCTGTCATGTTCAAGGAAAAGCCAGAAGACCAGTGTGGCTGGAGCAGAGTGAATGAGGGAGAGTGGAGCAGGAAATTGAGATGGAGTCATAGGATAGGCCAGACTGTGTGGGGCCTTATAGGCCATTTAAGGACATTATATCTTACTTGGAGAAAATGGGAATCCGTTGGAAGGTACTAAGCAGAAGCGTGACATGCACTGACTTACCTTTTATAAGGATCCCTCTTGGTAGAAAATAGAGAGTAAAAGGGGCATGGAAGTGACACAGGGACACCCAGAAGGAGGCAGGTGAGAGCTGATGGGGTAGAAGCAGTAGAAGTGATGAGAAGTGGTCAGGTGCTAGAGATACTTTGCAACTTAAGTGAACAGGATTTCCTGATGGATGCAATATGGGGTGTAAGAGAAAGGTGACAGTCAAGAAAGACAGCAGCATTTTTGGCTTGAGCAATGGCAAGAAAGGAGCTTCCATTGACCAAGATCGGGAGATTGGGGCAGGGAGAATGGGTCACAGGCTTGGAGTGGGGGAGCAGGAGACGCAGTTTTGTAATCTGTGAAATGGAGAAATGAGCAGAATCCCTTCATGAGGCTGTTGTGAAGGTTGCATACCCTTATGGATGCTGAGTCCTCAGCACAGGTGTTCTTGCATCGTGGGACACATCGGGCTGGTCATGTGATGGTCTTAAGAGAAGGTCTGTTGTTGTTGTTACTGCTGTTGAGTTGGCTCCTGACCCATGCAACCCCTTGCACAACAGAACGAAACGCTGCCCGATACTGTGCCATCCCCATGATCAGCTGGGGATTGGGCTGTTGTGCTCCACAGGGTTTTCATTGGCTGATTTTCAGAAGTAGGTAGCTAGGCCTTTCGTCCTAGTCTGTCTTACTCTAGAAGCTGTGCTGAAACCTGTTCAACATCTTAGCAACATGCAACCCTCCACTGACAAATGGGTTGTGGCTGTTCATGAGGTGCATTGCTGAGAATCAGACCTGGGTCTCTTTCATGGAGAACTCTACCACTGAACCACCACTGCCCCTAGAGGAGTTCTAGGCCCATGGTTTTCAAATTAGATTCTCTAGGGCCACACTGGCCAAGACAGTTGAGGATGATCATCCCTGTAACTCCCAGGAGCCAGAATACCTAAGTTCCAAGCCCACCTGTGCCACTTATTAGCTGTGAGACGTTAGGCAAGCTACTTAACAACTTCTGTGCCTCCTCTTCCCCCATCTTGAAAATGGGGACGATGAGAATAGCACCACCTACTTTGGAGGTTGCTGTGAGAATCAGATGAGGTAATCAAGCTAAGGTGGTTCCTTGGGAGGGTTAAATGGGCTCATCCATGGAAAGCGCTTACAACAGCCTAGCCGTTAGTAAATACTCAGTATACACTAGGCATTTGGGTAATTCTTTTTAGGACATAGGATTTCTCAGTTGAAAGAAATAAACGGTCTACAAATGACGGCTCAGGCTACCATCTTCATTTTCCAGATGAGGACCTTGAGGCCAGATAGGAAAATAGAGGTTGGTGCAGGCTAAGGAAAATCTACCTATCTCACACCCAATGAGAGCAGCAGCTTTCCTGAAGAGGTAGAGAGAGGTGGTCCCAGCAGGCGCTCATGCAGAAACTGGGTGAAAAATGGGTAGGGGGGAGGGAGTGGACTTAGACTGCCCAAATCCCTTCTAAGTTTGAGATTGAGGGACTCTGCAACCAGGTCACCTCCAGAATGCACTTACTTTCCCAGGCATGGGACCCGGAGGGACAGACATGACTCATGCCCTGAATGAAGCATGCTTTGGTAACTCTTCCCCAGATTTTCTGACCTGTCAATCGGGGAACAAGTTGCAGTTTGGTCCAGACGTGTCTCGGAAACCTGTCGAGTGGACTGTGTCTGGGAACAAGATGTGTGCATCTGGGGAGGCGTGTCAGGAGACACTGTTGCTCATTGATGCAGGTATGTGGGCTGGACAGGAAGACAAGACACCTGACCGGGCCCTGTACATTCCTGTCCTGCATTCTGTCCCCTGAGTTTCTGCCCAGGTCTCCTCCCTGCCTGGAATTCCACGTGCCCTGGTTGGTTTGTTAGCTGTAGCTGAGTCAGTCCCAGTGCACAATGAAACTAAATGCTGCCCAGCCTTGTGCCATACCCAACATGTGTTGTAGATTGGGCCATTGTGAGCCATAGGATTTTCATTGGCTGACTTTTAGAAGTAGATATCCAGGCCTTTCTTCCTAGTCCATGTGAGTCTGGAAGCTTCGCCGAAATCTATTCAGCATCATAGCAACAGATAAGCCTCCACTGGCAGATGGATAGTGGCTGTACATGAGGTGCATTAGCTGGGAATCAAACTCAGATCTCCTGCATGGAAGATGAGACTTTGACCACTGAACCAGGGCCTTGGAGGCTGGACTAACTCTTCCATTTTCTCTGCCTTGGTTTATCCTTGTGTAAAACATGTTAAAGTGATGGCAATAGTAGTACCTACCTTGCTGGGTGGTCGTGAGGATATAAGTGATAATCTACAAAAAGAGCTGAAGACACTGCTGGCAGAGCAACCTTAATGACTTTATGCATTTGATAAGTATCGACTGAGCACTGGGTGCCAAGCACTGTTGTTTTGAGCACTATTTTTTTTGAGCATTGGGTGCAGCACACTGGTGCACTACAGATCCATTCGTGTCTGCTCTTTTGGAGCTTCAGGGAAAACAGGAAAAAAAATCAGGAAATACAGGTAGAAGGTAAGAGATATGTAGAGAAATCCAGTAGGGAAAGGGAGGATTAGGAAAAAGGTTAAGGCCGCAATTTTTAAATAGGTGTTCAGGGGAGGCACTACTGAGAAGGTGACATTTGAACAAGAACTTGAAAGAGGTAAGGGAATGAGCTATGCAGATATCTAGGGGAGCAGGTTGTTGTTGTTGGTAGGTGCCTTCGAGCTGGCTCCAACTCACAGCCACCCTAGTACAACAGAACAAAACACTGCCTGGGCCTAGGCAGTCCTCACAACTGTTGTTATTCTTAAGCCCATTGTTGCAGCCGCTGTGTCAATCCATCTCGTGGAAGGTCTTCCTCTTTTTCATTGACCCTCTACTTTACCAAGCATGATGTCCTTCTCCAGGGACTGGTCGCTCCTGATAACATATCCAAAGTATGTGAGACGAAGTCTCACCATCCTCGCTTCTAAGGAGCATTCTGGCTGTACTTCTTCCAAGACAGATTTGTTCCTTCTTTTGGCAGTCCATGGTATATTCAATATTCTTTGCCAACACCATAATTCAAAAGCATCAATTCCTCTTTGGTCTTCTTTATTCATTGCCCAGCTTTCACATGTATAGGAAGCGATTGAAAACACCATGGCTAGGGTCAGGGGCACCTTAGTTCTTAAAGTGACATCTTTGCTTTTTAACTCTTTGAAGAGGTCTTTTGCCGCAGTTTTGCCCAATGCAATGTGTCGTTTCATGTCTTGACAGCTGCTTCCATGGGTGTTGATTTACTTGGGGGAGTAGGTAGACACTCACATATCATTCACCATGTACCAGGCACTTTTCTAAATGATTTATTTGTGTATCTGAATCAATCCTCACAGCAAACCTGTGATGATTGCATTAATATGTTCTCCATATTCCATACAACGAAACAGGGCACAAAGGTGGTAAGTGACTTACTTGTGGGGGCACAGCTGGGAGGTGGCAGAGCTGGACCCAGGCTCTTGCTCCAGTCTGCACCCTACAATAAACATGACCTATCCTATTATAATCAGGGAACTTGCACTCACCCTGCTGAGCACCTTGGAATTCCCAGTCTGGCTCCCTGGCCCCTGCTTCTCTCAGGGCCTCCCCCTCTTCCACCCCAGCTTTCACTCTCTCACCCCCTCAGGACACAAACCACTCCTGGTGGGGAACAAAGGCTGTGCCTCCTCTGGAACACAGGATTTTACGGCTACCTTCATACACTCGGGCCCCCCCGGAGTGCTTGTTGCCTCTTACTACCATGTCTGCTCCTCCAATGGTTGCAACAGAGCTGACAATTCCAGTGTCCTGCTAAACGTCCTCCCTTCACCAGGTATGAGATCCAGCAGGGTGGTTGGGTTACATGGAGAGATGGGGGGCCCAGAGACAGAGACTCGGGCTCAAGTCAGGTGTCAAGAGCTGGGGGCAGAGCTGTGCACCTCCAATGCTCTCTCTGCTCTCCAGCTGCCCCTGCGCCTGGAAGTCTGAGGTGTCCTGCCTGTGTGGATGTCTTTGGAACTTGTCAGAACCCCAAAGTCATTACATGCCCTATGGGCAGCACTCATTGTTATAAGGGCAACATCCAGCTCACAGGAGGTGAGTGCTGAAAACCTCATCCTGAGGGTGAGGGGGCTGGGGGCTTGGACATATGTCCTGACATGGGAGGAGGCTGGAGACCCTGATTCCTGGGTCTGAGGGAGAGGGAGCTGGGGCAAGGAATCCTGGGTCCTGAGGGAAAAAGAAGCAGGGGATTTCATTGGTCCTGAAGTGGGAGGGAGCCAAAGGCCCAGGTTCCTGGGTCTGAGGGAGGAGCGGGCTGGGGCTAAGACTCTGAATCTGAGAGTTTAAGGTGTGCTGTACTTCGTATCCTCTGTAACTCTATCTTCACCCTCTAGGTGGGCTCTCCGCCACAGTGACTATTCAGGGCTGCATGGCCAAACCTGCCAAATCCTTGTTGAAAAATACCCAGAATATTGGGGTCCTCTCTGTGAATGAGAACATTGAGGGTGAGCCTGCACCCAAAGGTGGAGTTGCCCCTGCCCCCTATCTGGCTTGGATGGTGGGGCTGGGACTGTCTCTAGCCCTTTGGTGTGGGGTTTTTTGTCTTCCTTTTTGACCCCATTTCCAAAGGTTCTTAGCCTTTGCTGATCCTCCAAAGCTAACATTCCCTCTGACCTCGTGACCTAGTGGCCTTGGATACCTAATTATTTCCCCATCACCTCCATGAATCATCCCCATACCCACTTTATCACTTCTTAACAACATTTGTGAGGCACTGGGAACAGCTGAACTTGTCCTGTAGGAGAGTGGACATTCAAGAAGTGGTCACGTGTGTCTGATAATAAAGATGTTGTCTTTTCATCCACTGATAGAGTTTCTCTATGTGCAGGGGAGGGCAGGAGACCAAGAGATCTGGTGTGAGGGAGGAGGGGTATCCAACAAGAGACTCATCTTCCCAGGTCCTGTACTTTGCTGGTCTGGCCCACATCCCCATTTCAACTTGGGTGGTAGTAGAGCCTTTGGGGTGCTGCAGCCCTTGCACAAATAAGGAGCTCACCCCGCCTAAGTAACTTGAGTAGAGGTTAGTATTGGGATAATTGACAAAAGTGTGTGTGTGTGTGTGTGTGTGTGTGTGATACAGAGAAATACAAGAGCGGACACTAGTTCCTGGAGATGATACCACTGGTCTCTGTTAACATTCCTAGACCTGAAAGTGTGAGAAGAAGGATCCATTGCTGGACCCTGCAAAAAGAGAGAGAGAGAGAGAGACAGAGACAGAGAGAGAGAGAGAAAGAGAGAGAGACAGCTGTTTAAGGAGGGCTTCCTAACAAAACCTCTGACCTCAAGCTGAAAAATATGTCCAGCCCACAATGACACTATACAGAGGGAACTGGGGGAATAAACATCACCACCTCACTCAATAACATCCCTCTGGTCTCCTCTTGGGGCTTCCCGTTGGCTGAGCTCAGCTGGATGCCAGAAGGCAGGAGATCCCATGGTGCAGTGCCATAGGTCTGCCAGTCCCAGTGCAGAGCAGGGTGGAGAAGGGGAGGAGAGAGAATCTGCAGAAGGCAGCAGAAAATGTCCAGTGCAGTCCACACCTTTCCTCCTCAGCCTCCACCGTTTTCCTTTGTCCAGATGAAAAATTGATGTCCTCAATACAGAAGACACAATTCCTATCAGTTACCAAGTCATTGTAACATTGTGTAGTGATGTCCAAGAGGTCATACCCCCACAATGTTAGAACACCAGTTCTTCATATAGCTTAACGGGAGGAAAATGGATTGTGGAAGTGGAAGGGAAAATAAGATAAAACAAAGTTGGTAACGTGATGAGTGTATAGTTGTGGTAATCAGAGCTGCCCTCTACCACCTATTCCATATTCTCTCACCACTTGCCAACATAGTACTGGACAGTGTTTGTTGCGTGGATGTGATCCGAAACGTCATTCTTATGGTAAGTGTGTCTTTGGTGGTCTTGACTTTATTGAATTTCTGTGGGTTTCCACTGAACAGGGTCACTGGCCAAGGAAATATTACCTCCAGTGAACGCCCTGGCTTCCAAATATAGTGTTCCTTGATCCAGCAACCCAACTTGCCCCTGGGAATCAAGTTCAGTCGCCCTGGCCAGCAGAATGATCCTCTTCTTTGCCTGTCGTTTCAGCAGCACAAGGAAGGAAAAATGGCTAGGAGGCAGTCATGGCTTTCAACTGATGGATGAGATTCTTCACCCACACCAAGCCCAAAGCCATAGGACAAGAAGCAAAAATTCTTTAAGTGATCTTTTAGGTATAACATTTGGAGAGGCTACTTCCATCTCCTTCCCTTGTTTCCTGCACCTGTGCATTCTGGCTGTAGGGAAAGTAGCATGATAGGTGGGCCATTGGTTTAAGACGTATAGCATCTCCTGTTGTATGGCAGGGTATGGTCTTCCACCTGGTGCCATAATAAGCCATGTATGGGCCATTCCACCTGTCTGATAAGCTAACTGTCTCTGTGTAATGGGACACATAGAAAAATGGTGAATGACTTGGGTATGAGTTAATTGACTCACTTTCTTTGACTTAAAATGTATACCCTGTTTGGGAGAAATATTATGTAGAATACCGTAGCAATAATGAAAGGCATTCTCTAAGTCCCCATATGTCAGTGCTGAGAGAAGCACTGAGTAAAGGGAAGTCAAATCGAAACCCTCAGTATGTGTTTATCCTTGTAAGAATAAAGCTCTGTCCCCTCCATGATGGCATATGTCTTGTTTAGTCACCCTACCTCCGGTGGCCAGATAGTCCTGCTGTTGAGTGATGTCGTTACAGAGACTTGGCATTGGCCTCTGCCTTTGTTGGATTGGGCACTCAATACAGTCAACAGCCAGGTCAGCCTTGGGATGAGTTAGTCCATTTTGTTGTAACCATGCATAGCCTCCATCCCTGCTAACATGATCATTTTGCACATAGGCCCACTGAGCAAACACTGATGGAGATAGAAGCTGCCTGGCACTGTCCACTAAATACTAGAACCTCCTCCTCAGTGCATGTACTCTGGTGGGCATTAGTGTGGGAATTGAATGTCTTCACACTCTATGCCAAGAGGACCATCCACATATTTTTTCCCAGACTCTTCATTTTCAATTTTATGCTTTTATTTTTTCCTGAGACCTTGACCAGCTGGAGCCTTGGTGGCATAATGGTTAAGTGCTATGGCTATTAACCAAAAAGTCGACAGTTCAAATCCACCAGCTGCTCCTTGGAAACCCTATGAAGCAGTTATAGTCTGTCCTGTAGGGTCACCTTGAGTTGGAATTGACTCAACGGTCAACCATGGATCCATGCAGAAATGGACCTAGGGCCATCTCTCCCTCCCCACAAGTTGGACCTCCAGAGTTCTGCCTGCTGGAAGGATTTCCCTGTATCACCTTTTCAGGGACATCTCTGTGGTGCCTGATACCAGCACACCATGTGGATCTATCCATAAACTAGGCCTGTGCTTCTCCTCCTATGTAAAGAGTTCAGAGGATCCCCATGAGGGTTGAAGGAAAGGCAGGAGGAGCAGGTGCCTTGGATGTCTGAGTCGCCTGTTGGGACATTCACCTGTGCCCTTGGGAGCTGCTTGAGCCTGATCCCATACACACTATTTTCATGGATATAGAATGCCGTTGTGCACACCCAATGTCATGGTTTGGTAGGAACAGGCAAAATAATTTACAGTGACTAAAAGTGTATTCCTGTGAGTGGGGATGGAGGACATTGACTGAAAAGGGGCATGAGGGAACTTTTGGGGGTTATGGAAATATTTCATGTCTTGATCTAGGTGGTGATTACACAGTGTAGTACATATGTCAGCTCATTAAACTGTATGATTAATACAGGTGCTTTTTTATTGCACATCAGTTACATAAAAATAGTGAATGAAGTCTGAACCAAAAGAAGGATTAAAAAAAAAAAACAAAAACACAACAAATCCGTTGCCGTCAAGTCGATTTCGACTCATAATGACCTTTTGGTTAGAAGCTGAACTCTTAACCGCTGCACCACCAGGGCTCCAAAAGAAAGATTTACTGCTACTTAATTTGTATCAAAGGAGGCCTAGTGGTGTAATGGTTAAACATTCAGCTGCTAACCTAAAGGTTGGTGGTTCAAACCCACCCAGTGGCTCTGAGAGAGAAAGACTTGGATATCTGCTTCCGTATAGACTACAGCCAAGAAAACTCTATGGGGTTGTTCTACTCTATCACATGGGGTCACTATGAGTTGGAATTGACTGAACACCACCCCACAATAACAACAACAACAACAATTTACATCAACTGGTAAAGTTTTAAACACATTTATTTTTGCCTTGCCATTGCTTCATGATTTATGCAATTGTCTAATCAATATTTGAAAGCCTGAGGCTGACAAAAGCATAAGAGATATTTAATGGGCATTTCACAACAGGTGAGCACTAACGAGTCTTATTAGTACCAGGCTTACACATTTTCCTCCTTTGGGATCAGAATCTTAGGGAACATCAAGTTATATAAAAGTCAGCTCAACAAACAGAGTTGGAAAAGGATTTTACAGAAAGCAACAACAACCCAGATTTCCTTTCTTAAAGTATAAACATATTTTTCAAGGTTACATATATTCCTCCTCAAAGAGAGGTGTCATATGTATAGTTTCCACTTACGTTAGGGATGATGTTGAACGGGGTGGGTCAGCAGAGTGAGATAATTTCTAGAAGATCTAAGTACCTGATTTAGGTGAACATTGGGGTGAATCTATGGCTGATTTTGGGTGACTTTGCTTAGTAGATTCCATGTGGCAAGTTAGAAGTGAAATTGACCATGGGTGTCTACATGCTTAAACAGGTGACATTTTCGGGAGGTCCAAGAGTCCAGTTTGGGGGTGACTTTGTCATGAGTCCAGGTATCCTATTTGGAGTAACAGTTTAGGATGACAAAGTGCAGGAGAATACAGATAAGTAGTTTGGATGGGCATTGTCTGGAGTAGGGGAGGGTCCAGGTGACTATTTTGGTGTCATTGTTGGAGTATGCAGGCATTATTTTGGTGACATGGTTAGGAGCTCCAGGTGCCCTAGTTGAGGTGATTTATCTGGGGGATTCCATTGTCAGGGGCTTAAGACAGAGTAAGGAAAAAAACTAGGGAACAATGGTGTATTTGGTGGCCATCTCACTAATACAGACCATAAAAACTAACATCCAGTTGCTCTTGAGTTGATTCTGACTTATGGCAACCCCATGTATGCAGGATAGAACTGCTCCACAAGATTTTCAAGGCTGCTTCATTTGGGGTGACCCAAAATTTCAAACCTGAAGGGTCTGGGCAATTAGTAGTTATTTTGGAATTGGGTTAATGTAATTTTCCATGGGCTTATGGACTTTAATCACAGGGCATGGTAGTACTAAGTGATATCTTAAGGGATTTCCTGTATTCTAGACATACTCTTCTTTACCCCCACTTTGTAATATCGATCCAATTTCCCCTTGGTAATCAGAATCAATCACATCAGCCAATACAGTAACTCCCTTCTTTGCCTGTTGATCCAGAGGCATGAGGAGCCCAAAGTGGCCGGGTGGCATTCTAACTTCCAGTTCAGTGGAATCAGTGATGTGTCTCCT